ATTATGAACCATAATTTATTATGATTCACGCAATAATATTATTAATTATTTCTCAACGAAATATATATATATATATATATAACAAATTATTTTATTTTATTTTATTAACGTACATAACATGCAAATAATATGCACAATATACAAAACACGTACACTATGTAAAGTATACAAAATGAAAAATATATTTTTAGAATCGCCTAATCACAATATAAATTTTTTTCCAAAAATTTCGCAAACTACCTATTTTCTATAAAAATATGCATTTGGTTATAACTGGTCTAGTCTTAGCATGTGTCAAATGTGCCCTTGCTTGACAAATTGCAAAGGAATATGAAGACTGAAAAAAGAAAATATTATGTTACATTAGTAATATCTGTAATGGCAAATGTGTATATACAATATTTACATCAACATACTTTTTCACAATATTAAATTGTAATCGAAAACTGGTGATCTCTAGAATATTTGTGTCTCATAAAAAAAAAGTCCTATGACATTTTATTTGAGCTTTAAAGAAATAAACTTTATAGAACTTTCAGAATTTACAATTTTCTTGTTTCATTTCTGCATCATGTAATAGATTGAAAACATTTCTTTTTGAAAATTTTGCAACTTTACACATCTCTGATGGCATAAAAAATTTTTTTTAAAATAAATCAACTATGGTCTTTAACATTGGAATTTGCCCTTTACAGTGATTTAACATATAAATGATATAATTTAACAATATAAATTTAATGTACGATTTTTTTTGACTGATTTATTCAACTTTGAATGAAGTTTGGTATTAGAATGATCCAAGAAGTATATCACAAAGAAGATGCACAGTTGGATTTTTATTTCATAGGCGTCTGTTCGAAGATTGAAAATAATTCATGTCAATTATATAAATATTAAATTCTTGCACGTTATTTGTGACTTTAATATTTCTATAATTTATATATTTTATAATTTTATTTCCTGCTCAATTTCCAAAAAGTTGAGGTTGAAATTTTTATTTGAAAAAAGGGTGCCAAATGTTGACGATTTGCTTCAAATCTGATATAATAATACTATTTGTTATATTTGATATAATGTTAAATATATTCATTATCTTCATTGAATCGTTTGAGTTTACGAAACAGATTCTTCGCTGAAGTTTTTTGCTGAAGCGATGAAATGTATTCCAACCATCTTTTATTTTGTTCCGGGTAACTCTTAATCTCTTCTAAACTAAACTTGATTAATAAATATTGTGTTTTTTATGCACGCTGAATAAATGTTTGTTATTTCTAATCACAGTTTGATACTTCTTCAATCAGAGTAGATTTTTTATTGCTGTTGATTTTAGGAATAATTGAGTTTGCTGCTCTATAATACCTTCCCTGAACTTATTTAAAATTATATTTATTTTTAATTTAAGATTGTAGTTATTTTTAATGTGTTATCGTTTATGAGGGAAACTAAATAGATATACTTTAGCTTCTATAATTACTTGATATTTGTTTCTTAATATTTCTCGACGAATCTCGATCTCAGGACGAATATTAGAATATTAGAAGGTAATTTTTTATATCAATTTTCGTGTTGTTTTTAAAATTTGTTTCCTAAATGTATATATCTAAGTCTTGATTATATATTAATTTTTATTCATTTTAGTTTATAAGTGCATATTAATTTATATTAATTTTCACTTTCATGAGTGCGAAAATTTCTGGTTCATCATAATTAGCTTCAAGTCATATGCCTCTGCTATTTTTGTTGCTAGAAATATGTGGTAGCTCATAATCTCAAATGAAATTAATAATTCTTAAAACTTCAATATCTTTTATACACAGAATATTTCACGTAACGTTTCGCACAATTTTTTTAGGCATTTGCAGCAACGTTACAAAAAATAGTTATATATCAAGTGTATTATATACAAGTATATAAAAAATTTTAAAAATGTTTCATTTTCATGATAAACTAAAATTCACTTCACAAGTTTTATAATAGATTTATAAATAGATCCCTTTCCGCCATAAAATGTAACGTATAAAATATAATAGATTAATGTAAGTTTGATCTAAAATATTTTTTTATTACATTACTGCAAATGTTTTTTGAAAATTTATGATTGAGATTTTTCAAAATAAATATAATCTAAAATACAAAATACTTTCCGCCGCCGGCCAAAATATAATCTAAAAGTATCATGTACTTTGTTTCTTGAATTTTATGTTAGGAAACATAATAGTTATAAACATAAATTGTTAAAAACATGAATTGTTTTTAACTCTCGAGTCTTCGTTGTCTCCAACTTAGAAACAATTATCACACATTTAAGTTTTTTAACACTTTTCAGTTGCTTTTGTCAATTTTGTGAAGAAGAAAGAATATAAATAAAAAGAATTATGGTAATTGTTTCTAAGTACGTTCTCTTTAATTAAATGTATCTGCTTGCATGGAATTTTAGTTCAAAATTGAGAAATATTAATTCAGAAGTATTAAAACCCATTTCTGTAATAGTTCCGTATCCGATCATGCAACGAACCGGTCGATATATTCTATACATAATTGTAATGTCCTGCGGTCACATTTGGTAAACTGCAATGGTTTCTCTGCACGATCCGGATACAGATTTGAATGTGTCCCTGCATTCAACGTACTACGCACTACGTTATAAATTTTTATAGCAAAAAATACTTAACGTGAAAATTACAAGCTACACAGATGTAACCTCTGGATATTGACTCATAATCATTTACGATTTTCAACGCTTTGTATGTTTTTAGTAAAATTATGGTGTTTAATAAAAATTTAATTACGTATGTAAATACTTATATGTTATTAATATAAAAAATAAAAAATGGAAGAATAAATTATTAATAAATCTGTATGCATATGTGTACGTATACATGTGTGCTCAGATCTTTCAATTTTATTAAAAAATTTTAGAATGTTGAAAATTGTGAATTTTCTCACCTCGATTCAATGGCTGTAATATTAGGTTGTCTCAAAAGTTTCTTTCGTTTTATAAGGAAATAATAGATGCACAACATTTCTTGTTTTATATTATTTTATTGAATTATTTTGTTCTATTGCCTTTCTCCATCTTTCGGGAAGCCGCATAATTCCATCTTTCCAGAAATTCTTGGGTTTGCCAGTAATATATCATTCTAAGTACATTTTTATGTCATTCATTGTATCAAATTTTTTTTACCGCTATTTTAATGAACGAAATAGTAGTAATCACACGGGGCAATATCCAGAGAGTATGGAGAATGAGGTAGAACATCCCAATCAAATGATAAAAGTTTGTTCCTGACGGTTGAAGTCACATAGGGCCTGGCGTATGGGAAACGACTCCTTGTCTGTTCGTTAATTCTGGCCGTTTTGTGGCGATTGTTTCCTTCAATTTGTCCAGTTGGGAACAGTATTTCACTGAATTGATTGTTTCACCTTGTGAGAGCAGTTCATAAATGACTCTTCCAATCCCACCAAAACTTTCTTCGAGTGAAGACCAGACTTTGCTACCGTTAAAGGCTTCTTATCCCTTGACCAAGATTGACGTGTAATATTCTCGTAAAGAATCCACGTCTCATCTCCAGTAATCTTCAGAAATGGATCTTTCTCGTTTCGCTGAAGAAGCAAATCACACGTCGAAATACAGTTACGGAAGTTGCTCTTTGTCAACTGATGCGGAACTTATACTTCAGAGCGGTTGACGTAGCTGATCTTTGTAAGATTATGCACCACGTTGTTCGCGGAATGTTTAAAATATCCGCCAATTCACGAACAGAATATCGCGGATTTTCATCAACTATGGCCTTGTTATTCCATATCCGTAGTGGATGCGTTCTTCACCTTCAAGATGAAAATTACACCTTCTAAATCAACTACGAATTATCTGAACACTCGTAGCACCACTTCCATACACGATGCAAATCTCAGTTGCGGTATCTATAGCAGTGTTACCTTTTTCAAAAACAATGCAGCATTGTATGTCGGGAATGCTTTCTTTAATTTTCCATACTTAAAGAGCGTATATAAGACTTTAATGCAAACGAAACGTATCCTACGACAGCTAGAGAACGACTGAAGACAAAGACCACAACATTTGACAAACTAGGTTCCATGTTTGTATAAACTTTGCCAGATAAATCAGCTGCGTGCAGATAACGAAAGACACTTTTGGGACAATGTAATACTTAATGTAGCGGATGTTGTAGCTTGACGGACCAAGCAATATCGATCCGATTCGAGACGCTTGAAGCGGATAACCACCGTGTGGACGAAGTGATGATGAAATGAAATGAAACGAAATGGAACAATTCCGAGAAGATCAGAGATCGTGGTGACTGTATAATTTTATCGCTGATATTACCTCCTCGCCAGTTCACACAGCTGTGGTCCGAGATAGTGATGTAATAAGGTAATGCATAATTTCTTGTAGCTTAAGTTAAGATTAACTTGTCGCACTGATTTGTAATTGAATGTTACACCGACTGATTTGTAATTAATCGTCGCAATGATTTCCCCGCTAATGGCGGGCTTACTTTATGTGAATTTGATGATAAGTGCTGATCACTTTGAGACACGAGCTGTTTGATTGCCTTAACGTAATTCATTTAGAAACAGTGAAATTAAACATCGATAAGATGATCGATACCAATCGTTTCTAAAGAACACTAAACATACAGACACGCGGGTCAGCGGCCAAGAAAGAAAACTAACCGATCGCGTCGCAATAATCGGAGAGCGTGGCAGATGCTAAAAATTCTTGTCATATACGTCCCATGTGTCATATGATCGGCAGCAATAAAGTTCCACTTTCTAAAATTCCTCGAAAACTGCAATAGTTACTTACATAAATGTAACCCAAAAAATAGAAAGACAATCAGTTTTTAAACTTCGAATCTGTATCTTCATTCTGTCTTCATTCTAGAATTAAATCTAGTTAGCCAATACGTCGCTACACTCAGCAACTACTCTTTCGGTTATAACCGTTTCCTACATTTCAACGAATTGTCGCATATTTATTTTTGGAACTTGCCCTTATTCAAATATATCTAAATAGAACAATAAATTATTTTATGTAGATAAGAAGCTTAACATCCTTCGTAAGTGTAGGTAATTTTAATAATTAAAATTACAGAAAATGGTCTGAACACTGATATCGACAGAGAGAGATTAATGACTAAAAGTTATGATTGACAGTTTTTTTTAAAGAGTATCAGTATTGGTTTGGTTACGTAAGTAAATGGTAAAAGTTGACCGAAAACGCTATCGTTTGGAAATAATCTACAAAAATGAATGATTGTCAATGTGTAAATTGTCTATGAAATCTAATTAACAAAGCAGGTTAATTACGGAAGTATATATTCTCAAATATTCCATTATAAAATACAAAAATCATTGAAATTGGTAAAGCTTGCCCTTTAAAAAATATGAAACACATATTTATAAATCTCTACAAATTTCGAGTGACGTTCCTATAAAAAAAAAGTTGCAATATGTTTCAAGGTCATTAAAATCAATATTTTTCTTTATTTTAGATAATTACAAAATAAATTGCCGATGCAATTAAATTTATATGATAATATACAGGCTTCACATAATTTTAAGTTTCAAGTTATGATTTCATTGTACAATAATGTATATGTAATCAATAGTTATCTTTTTAATGAAAATGCATAAGTTTATATAGATAAATTTACATACATAATAATACATAGATACATTTCTCTCGTCATTCAATAGTACAATTAAACTTCAAAAAAAAAAAACAAAAAAAAAACGTGTTCCTCTGAATGTAATAGTTTCTGAAACATTTATCTTCCTTTTCTTTGAGATTTTTCTGCACTGTTTAATAGACTCTAACTTTACTCTATACTCTAAAACAATTGTGTGGATGATCATGTGTATAATATAATATATTTAATAATATAATTTCTCACTACAATGTATTCAATAATTGATTTATTGAAAAATAATCACATTAGCAATTTTAAGAAAGAAATACTTATTTGCAAAGTCTTTCTTTAGAAAAAAAATACTTATTTCTTGCAAAGTTTTCCTTAGTACAAACAACTGGCTTGATTATCAATTCATATACCATTATTTGAAAAAACTGGCAATGTAAAAACATGATATATTCGTGCATATGAAGTGTCGTTTAATTTAAGTTTGAATTTGGCGAATTAATATCACCTATTAAATTTTTTCCTTTTGTTAATTAACAAACAAATTAGAAAATGGGAAATTTACTATAACTATATATTTTATTTTTTGACAAGAAAATTTATATAAAAAATAAATAAAATATATACAGGGTAATTCTTAAATGATTCTTTGAGTAATGAATCTACATAATAAAATAAATAAAACGTATCATATGAATCTATAATATATTCTATGTACTTTAAGTTTTTTAGTTATATGATTGAGATTGAAATGTGGATGAGGAATTGTTTAATGTCCATCTTGTATTTCAAGAGTATCAATGCTACCGCATATCAATACGTATCAATACATATCTAATGTTTACAAAAAATATCCATTGATATATAAAACAAAACTCCATTCATTAAACTTTTATTCCTGATGCAATTTAAAATTCAACTGAAATGAATAATGTGCATGTGATCTACAAGAAAGGATTCAAAACAAATCCGATATGTGAATGCAAAATTCAATGTAATAACATTATGTTGAAACATAAGGCTACTGTATTGAACATTTTCTTCAATTATCTATGAAAACGAAGATATGTCGACAACTAAGATTTGTAAAACATATGTCCACAAGACATTTTTTTACATATTTTAAAGTATAGATTCATCACTTAAGATATGGACATACATTTAAAAATACGTTTAAGAAAGATACCAAAATTTTATTATTGACCGTCGTGAATAGTTTTTAACACAAATTATTAAAAATTATTAATTATTAATTATTAATTATTAATTATTAATTAATTATTAAAAATTTATTTATAAATTATTAATTATTAAAAAATTACAATTTCAATGCAAAGTTTTCCAATTTTTAAATTGATATACTTTCTATAAATGTAATTATATTGTAGGGGACGCGTCCCGTTGGCCTTGGTCGATCAGGGCCAATAAACATATAAAAGTAAAGTAAGGAACGCATCCCTGAGCTTAGGTCCATAAAATAATTGCCCATAATGCACCTAGATCTACATTTCCAATCGTGAAGGACACAAAAACAGACTTATATAAGACCGACATGGTCTAATAGACATACAAAGTCTCACAATTCTCTTTTGTTTCTGAAGCCGACTTACACCGTCGACATCCGTGCGCGAGATTGCCAAAATATTATTAAAATTTCAAGTGGAAAAACAATATTTTATATGCAATAATTTAATAACTTACCTTAATTCGAACCATCATGTTCAAATGTCCTTGACTATACTGTTCGATTACATCGCGCACGTCGTACGGTTTTCGTGCTTGCTGGAATTTTCTCCTAGCCACGAAGTACTTGATCTTCCTGATCGCCCTAATGGCGTTTCGATGTACTTCCGTTAGCCTAAAAATTAGAATGATTTTATTTTTGGTGAATTTATTCTCTTACTAGAAGATAATAAATATATTTCTAAACACATAAAGTGTTTTTTCGATTCAATAAAAAGGAAGAGGGTGATTCTGCATGAAAAAAATAAAAAAAAAAAGAATAACATTTTTTCATTTAAGGCTTCATTTTAGAGAACATTGAATTTGCCAAGTAACCTTGAATTTGGCTAATTTTAGACTAATAGGAGTTAATAATGTTAGAAAATTTCAATGATGAAGAGAGGATAGGAGGTTATTCTGTGAGAAATATAGAATAAAAATTTTTCGTAAAACTGTCAATAGACTTTTCAACAAAATAAAAAACTTCCAAGAAAAAATAAATTTTTAAATTTAAAAATTTAAAATTCAGTTTAAATTAAAGTCAAGTTTTAATTTTTCTTATGAAAAAATTGTATTTTACGTGTTTCAGTTCTTACAGATAGATTGTTCATTTCTGCCCAGTCCAAAATTAGCTAAATTTAGATATAATTGAGAAATTTTCTAATTTAATTTTCTTCAAAACAAAACTTTCTCGAAATGAAAAAGTTTTATTCCTCCTTTTCGATTCATTTTTTTTATTTTAGTTGTACCATTGGATTAGAAACACCATAATTCATCATAATTAAACATGTACGTCATATTTAACATTTTTCATCATTTCTTTTCAGACGAAGCTGTTTTTCATTTTTACATTATCAATTGTTTGTTATTTTGTACTGAAATAAAATTTGTTCTTTTTTTAAGAATTGTTAAAAAAAAGGAGGAATATATTCACTTTAATTAGAATATGGAACAAAATTTATTACAATTATTAATCTAAAGTTCTGAAGAAAATTTGATTATAAGTGTTAAGAAATAAATTTTATAGAAATATAAAATTTATTTTATTATTCAACACTGACTATTGATTATTGCTTATAGATATTATGAATTATATGATAATATTCTCCATTTCACTATTCTACTAGTAAAATTAATTTGAAAAATAATTTCTTGCTTTATTATTAATATAGACATATGCAAATTAGCATTCAAAAGTATAATGATTTGTATAGAGATTTTGTATATCTGTCTATCAAAAATATAGTAACGTACAACAGAACCATTGTTATTTGTTAAAATCATAAATATTTAACTCAAAAAAAAAAAAAAAAAAAAA